TATCTTCCAGACAATTTGTAAACTATGTTGACTGAATACAGCATTATATTCGTGTTTATCTGCATTCAAACGAAAGCGGACAAGAATGTTTCTACGTTTTACATAGGTAAGGAATTCTCAATATTCCATTTTCGAAAAACCGCTGCTTTATTTAACAATATATTCTGTTGCGCAAAGTAAATGAAAGCACGAAAAAATGTCATTATTACAATATTCTTGTATTTCCCCGAAATTAAAACTAACCATGTATTCCCATAAGACCTAATGTTTAAGCCTTCTGCGAATACAGGGTTAGCATCAACTCGGCGAAAGTGTAATTTATTAGAGCTATTCTTGTACTTACAACATTTTCTCGTGGTTTCTTTTGTTGGCAAGGTCTTTGCGTAAAATAATCTGTTGTCAAATATAACACGCTTTAAATTCTAGACCGATTTCTTAGAAGTTGGCTACATTTTTTCTCCAATTCTAAGATTGAAATAAATATTTCATTTGATTCAGATTTATTAGATTCAAGTAATAAACTAACTGCAAGAAGCGATGTGGACTATGTGATATCTTACATCAATTCTCAACCTATTAGCGGATCACCGCTAATATTACGACGGAATAACGTCACAAATCTGAGGGATGGCTTCAAAAATGGTAAGAAAAAAATTTATCGTATAATTATTTATGAAATACCAATATTTTTCCATTTCGTAAACTTGATATCTTCACTAGTGAAAATAACATGCATTCGGGGTTTCTCTATATAGTGCAAGTATAAGAAAAAAGGTATTTTACGACACAATTTGCTTTCATATGTAATTATATGATAAACAGAATATTACATGGTCGCTTAGAGAGTACGAATTTTATCTTCTCGTGTTGGAAATCTCTCACTCCGCGTTCGCTACGCTCACTCGTGAGAGATCTTAAGTTTTCAACTCTCGAAGATAAAATCCGTATCTCCGCGCGRCCATGTAATATCCTCTATGTCACAAGAATGTAAGGTTACTGGAAAATTGCGCCGCAAGGATTAATGTACCGATTGATTGATGGATTTTACAGCACATGGTTTGTTCACAAGCAACGTCATAGCGATGATCGACATTGGAGACGAAGACGATTTTAACGGCTGCGTTTCCAGTGCATTAACAAACATACCCATATTCGGTCTTATCGACAAAGGAAATAACCAAATAAGGAAGTTACGTTTGTGCAAGCGCTCTATAGCATTGTCAGCGGATTACATGGACTATGCACATGCCAGTATAACGATCCTGGAGTCCTTCCAGTGGAAGAAGGTGGCTCTTGTTTTTGAAGGTAACTGTTCAGTTTGTTTGAAGGCTCTTGCGTTTCAACAGTACTGAAAACAGAGCTGTGAGGATCCTGTGCTCAGTCCCTTGCATAGCTCCACTATGTACACTTTTTCGTGTGCAATTTTGTTCTCACAGTCCAATTTCAGTGTTATGTGCAGTATCTCTCATGTGTGTCGAATTTTAGTATCACTTGTTAACTTTATGCTATAGCGTATCATGCCCAATATCGACTGTTGTATCGTTTGTCATATTTCATTTTGTGTTGAGTTTCGCAGTTTGTTCAGTTATTGTATGTTGCGTGTCGAACGTCGATTGAGTGCCACATAATTATGTGTGTGTCGAAACTGTAGTAGGTAGAAAAACATGTTGAGGATGGAAACTGGCATGCTTCGATAATTTCTCGAAATGTTGATTACGAGTATCGATCATGTGCCGAATGTTATGTAGGTTATCATCAAATCGTCATTTATCCAGTGGAGAAATGGAGTAGATTATTTTATACAGCCTTATTATAACCGTCCCTAGATGCGCTTTTTCGAATACATATACATGTGAATTCGATCGAAAATTGCAATTGSCCATGCAAGTATCGACTGTTATTTAACGTGGCATTACTTTTACCAACAGAACYACGTTTTTACCAAGCGGCCTATTTCCAGTCAGTCGTCGGTGATAAAACATACAGCATAAGACATATTCAACTACTAACCTACAGCAACATGACAGAAGAAGACACAACCAGAAAAGTGATGCATGACTTGGCGGCAAACGACGTCGATGTCATCTTGTTATACACTAGCGAAACCTACACAAATTCTCTGCTAATCAAGGTGAGCGTTTACATGTTGTGTATAGAAGGGTTTCTTTTTTACACAAATGCTACATTTATAGAGAAATTTAAAAAAAAATGGACATCAAATGAAGCTTAACTCATTCCACAGGAAGCGTGRAACCCGACAAAAACATACGTTTGGATAATCCAGGAATCTGTGAGTATAGCAATAGTTGTAAGTATGAATTGTTCACCACTTACATTAACATTAATTTTGCCCATATCTACAGGTTCCAATGTCAATACAAGCTTACAATTCACATATGGTTGTTGGTTTTCAACTCTCAAAAAATCTAACAATGTTACCAAAGACGTTGCACAATCACAGCTCTTTTTGCCAGGTAGTACGTGATSTATTTTGGAATCTCGATTCACATTTTCCTCACCTATTTAAACATCTTTGAACCCTAAAATAGGGATGACTAGCCACCGTTATATGCCTCCTCGATCCCCACGCCCTACCCGGACCCATACGCCATTGTATTGAAAAGAAAATGGTTTCTCTTCCCTTTTCCCCGCCCATAGAAACAATTGCACCTCAATCTGCAACTGATACTTTTGATGTTKCAGATGTCAGAAGAGGCACAGCAATAGATCTAACGATTTCAAGACTGTACGGAAGACTTTATTACAATATTTAGTTGTTAATCTTTTATTTGATATCCTTAAGGACTGCATTCATCTCATTTTCGACGCAGTAACTACAGCCACCATGGCAACAACCAAACTTCAGCATCTTGGCTTATGGTTACCGGGAAACACTAGCAGTGKTATAAATACAAATAGGGAAAGACTGTACAACGAAGCGACGAAAGTAAGTTGTGGAATTGTTCTTCAAAGGCCCACCTCTGTTTTTGTTCATTGACAATTGCCGTTTGATTCTTATTGTTTCAAAAATACATCTCGAATGCATGGAAGATGATCATCTTCAGCATGATAACAGCAACAACAAAACAGAGAGAAAGTGTAAACAGAACAAGATAGAAGTGAAATTTTAAAACCCTGACCGGTCACAAARCTCCTTTATCCAATATGCCGGATCATATCATAATACGGGAACCCCATCACGTTGATGGGGTATACCGCTGACTAACATAATTATGTGAATTGCCTCTTTTAGGTTGGTTTTCATGGTCYCACGGGGTTAATAAAGRTCGACCGAARAGGACGACGACATGTGGAAACTCTTGAAATATTAAACTTAAGAAAAAACACGTTTGTTAAAGTAAGACGAAGACGTTGCCATTGAAATKTCCCCATATATAGCTATTTCAAAAAAGGTTGTCYGATAAAGTGGTGAATGTCAATGGTCGAACGGCYATTGCACGACCGAAAGTAGCTATGGGATTTACCTATTGAAAGGCAACAACAATTGACTTGTACTGTAAGATGGTCTGTGGTAAAKACTGGCTACATTTAGTCTCCATTTCTATGCAAGGTGAACCCAATAAGTGAAATTTTGTTTATCYAAACAGTGTAACCATAGTCCCTTTCGGTCGTGCATTCTCCCTTCGCCAATTGCCGTTTGCCGTTCTCCCCGACAACGTTTTTGAAATAGCTGTATACATCATTCATACTTCATTTGTTGTTACCCAAACAGGTAGGAGAGTGGATCAAATCATCTCCAAACCAGCACATCTCAGGTGAAATACTACCAAACTTTGTCAAGACATCTGAAGCAAATTCCCTTCAAGGACGCAAACTGTCWGTTGCTGTAATCGTGGTAATGAAATTAAACGTACAATTATTGGATGAGACATGACATTACATAATCATAATTATTTTTGGTTCAGTGACCATGCACAAAAGAATTGCAGACGAGGCTCAGGGGAAATAAAAGAATAAATCAAGATTATCCATTGTTTTCCCGGAGCCTCGTGTGCGTTCTTTTGTACATAGTCATCGAACCAAAATATCTAAAGTTGACTATTGTTGGATGGGGTTATACATAGCATCAGCTACATTTATTGGATGCGTTTGTACATGACGGTACAAAGTAAATTGATGAGGACAGACTAGGCGTCTGTGATTAACAACACCGATCGATTTAAAAATGTTTGCCTATTTGATTTTGCTTATTTTTGGACATCACAAAAATAGCGTATTCAATACGTATTTTGTTATATATACCTTATTGCATTGAAATACTTGATGCTAAATTTTGTAATTTGGGAATTAGTATGGGATTCCCTTCCAATCGGGTGCCTGTCCTCCACACCTACTCTCAAAGTTTTTGAGCTTGGCTTACCCCTCTCTTTATATTCCACCCTAAAAGAGCAATTTTTAATGATGTCTTGCAATCTTCCCATTAATGAGACTTTGCTTATTAGTTTTTTTCATGGTGTTCTTAGTCTGAAATGGTATGAAATGAACGATGATATAGTTAGTTCGTTAAGTAGTGAATCCAGTCTACTGAGATCTCGTATTCCATTGTAGCTTGAYCCTTTCGTCARCAYGACAACAGCCAAAGACGGATCAATACAGTACAAGGGCTTCTGCATTGATTTGCTCGCAAGACTTGCAAGTGATTTGAAGTTTTCATATGAAATWCACGAATCACTGGATGGTAATTACGGGTCTTACAAAAATGGTCAATGGAACGGAATGGTTAGGGAACTCATCGATGGGGTGAGAGACGTTTATAATCWTCAACTCACTTGTCAAACTGTCTTGAATGTCGATGATGTTGATATGCTCTCTACACTTCCCTCAATGAACCCATAAGATATACTATTTTCCAAAGACCTCTGGGATCCGTGGACAACTATAAGCATAGAAATACGTCATGCACGTTACTTATATCGTATGCGGCCTTTTGATGATATCTGTGGCCACTTGACTTAATGGTTCTAATTTTGCCTTCCKTAATTGCAGAAAGCCGACATGGTAGTGAGTGACATAACCATCACCGAGGCACGAGAAAAAGTCATCGACTTCACAACCAGCTACATGTATTACACGGAAGACATAGCTATGAAAAAGAACGAAATCAAGACAAATGATTATCTGCAGTTCTTGATGCCCTTTGATGCTGAAGTCTGGATAGTTCTTGTAGGGGTGCTAGTTGCGTTTACAATTTTTCTGTTCATACTAAATTACCTAAGTCCTTATGGATGGAAAAACGAGCAGGGAACTCAYACGTCTAAGGAATTTAGTTTGTTTAACTGTTTTTGGTTTTCATGTTCTTGTATGCTGCAGCAAGGAGCAGAACACACACCTAAATCTATATCAGGTAAAGCCCTATGGACTTGAAATGCTTTCCAATTATTCGTGAAATTCTTGAAAACCGATTTTGATTAATTAAGTATCTTGTGTGTAATGAAAAAATCAGTGGCCGTCCCCTGAAAGACTTTTTAAAGGTTTGAATTCAGTCAGTGGTCTTTGCAAAGAAATCGGTAAAACRGTGATTCAACTTTATTGTTTGTTTTAGGCCGTCTTCTGGTCGGCTTTTTCTGGTTCTCTGTCCTTATATGGGTTTCAACCTACACAGCAAACTTGGCGGCATTTTTCACTGTAGTGTCCAAAGAACTCCCTATCAAAAACCTCGAGGATGCCGTCAATTCCGACTACCAGCTYGGCGTTTCCAGCAGATCACACTTGGTAGATTTCTTTAAGCATACACAGGTAAMTGGTTTCATTGTGACACTAAGTTCATCAATGTGTGCATGTTGGAGTCATCAAAAATCGTTTTGATCGATCGAGTCTCGTGATGATTGAAAGAACACTGGAAAAAATCGCGCGCTTTAAAGGTTGTAAATTTGATGTAAATATGATGTAAGTGTCCAAAATTCTGTAAATTTGATATAAATCATTCCCATTAAATTTACAGAATTTTGGACATTTACATCATATTTACATCAAATTTACAACCGATTTTTTCCAGTGGAACAACGGGATAAACAATAGATGAAAACTTGAAAGTTGGTTAATTTTGTTTTCCATTGTTCACTGTTGAGTAGATCCATCTGTTCCAGTTTTATGCGTTTTAAAAGGGGTCGACCATTTAACTAGTGATGGGGGTTGGGGTGTGTTGAGGTGCAGTAGTTGATTTGAAAGTTCTATTTCTAATTAAATTAGATCCATTTCTTGGTTATTTACATTGATTTGATTGCATATAACGTATTGATGATTTACCAGGTAGAATTTTACCAAAGAGTCTGGAAAAAAATGAYTAATCTTCCCATCAACAACATAGAAGGCATGAAATGGACTCGCGAAAAGCGATACATTCATCTTGGAAACGGACCTATATTGAGCTTCCAYGCAAGCAAGAAACCTTGRGAATTAGTCACGCGTGAGTTAATAAGTATAAACGGTTCTCGATGGATCAATAAGGAATTGTGATCAATCACTGAYCATCATGAATATATATTGCATCAAACACCCATCAATCCTATGGGGTARGATCAAGTAAATTTTTAAGYGGTGCAGGAAATTACGCAAATGCCATGAAACATGTTTTKSAACATGTTTAATGCCACATGGAGCAGCATTATCGACCATCAAAAAAGGGGAATTAACAGTAGAGTTATTAATGGTGTCCAGCTATTCTAGCAATATTGCTCTAGCTAGAGTATAGCGGCATCAAAA